ATGGGGGAGGGGGAGAGGGGGTATTGGGCGTAAGAGGGGAGATGGGGATAGGAAGGAGATTTGATTAAGATAGCTACAATTTTTATAGGTGTTTATAAAGCGAGGGCAAGCTCGCTTGCATCCAATACAGTAGTTGCTAGATGTTTACTCTTCGCTTATCTTCGAAAACTTAGAAGCATCAGAAGCATTTTAAATCGTCATCCAGAATAGCTGTACTGAGTCAGGAAACGCGTGGTCTCGAAGGAAGCTGATCCTCAATCGTTTGTCCTCTGATTATTCTCATCTAAACCCCGGTACTCGAGTACGCTATTTAGTCCGGGAATGCCACTTTTAGCTACGCACTTAACCACCCCAGAAAGCTCATAAGCGCGCTCATCTCTGAAGATGTTTTCAATCCACCAGCAACAGATATCTCCAGCTTTGTATCCGAGGAACTACCCATAGGAAGAAATTCAACACTAGAACACACACTGAAAATGAGAGTGAGTGATGGGAAGAATTCTCAGAAAACTTGCGAGACTTTGTAAATATTCTTAGTAACATCTTCGCTGGAAGATCATCGAGTCTTAAGAGGTATCTGTTTAGTTGTAGATACAACCTACATCTGTAAATACAGAATCTCCTATATAGATCAGTGAACTTTTTGGCCAGAATCTGGCACACCAATGTTGTTTACACTATAATTCACATCTCAAGTCGTATTCTAGGCAATGAAATCGCGGACAGAGCTGCTGGGAAAGCAGCGCGGATACCCCCTTCTAATTCCCTCTCTCCACTTTGTACTGCTACGCTCAAGAGGGGGGTTAAAGAAACAGGGATTGGACTTGCAAAGAAGCTCTGGAGCGCTACACTCCCGGCTGTCTATAAGGATCTGGGGCTTGAAAATTGGTCTTTGAAGCCACGGTCTCTTCAATTACCAAGAGAGGTTCCAGCTCGCTTAATAGCTGCTCGTTCTGGGCATGGAGACTTTGTCGCTTACCACCTTCGCTTCTTTCACTTCGACGCATTACTTACCTCAGGGGATTGTAAGTGTAAGAAGGCTAAGTCTCAATTCCACCTACTCTTTTGTAGGCTAGCAAACAACGTAGCCCCTAGGCTACTAGCAGAAGCTCAGAGGAACCCTCAGCTGCTCTTCGGCCCCGGCTGCGAGGAGCTATTTAATAAGGTCTACTTTAAGACTAGATTCTTCACTAAGATTTGTCTACCTAGATAGGCTGGCCTACTTTTCTTTCTTTCTTTGATTTATGTATTTCATTTGTTGTACCCTGGTTCTCAAAACTAATTAAGGATAAGGGCTGTCCCGAAAGTGGGGCTTCTCTTTAAACTGTCTCTTGTAAATTAGCGTCTCTTCTTTTACACCCCCTGTAGCCTAGGGCACCCCCCTAGCGTCATTTGCCCATATTGGGACTCTTCTAGGACCTAGCCCACGCGAGCTAGAGTCCGCTTGACGTTAAATAGCAATAAATAAATAAATAAATAAAGTCGTACACATCCTTGACGTATCTAAAAATGTCTCCAGCCTGTGTAGGAGATACGAATACCACTACTGTGAGCATCAACAAGTTGGGAAGCCACCTTGAAGTTTAGCCGCTATTTACCTATGTGAAATCCCTACATTTATCCTAAAGTATAAGAGAACTTTGCGAGGATTCATGCTATAGTCAATTTCATCTTCAAGGTTTTGGTAGTTACCGTTATCAAGAATTTGGATACTCTTTAATTGTTCAGACATTAGGCAGGATATTAGAAAGGTCGTGAATTTCAATCGTAAGAGCCTTTGAAACCACAAAGAATAAATTCAACAGAGTTTTGTTATCGTAGTGTCTCTTAGAATACTTCTAGTAAAGTTGTTAAACGTTCCTTTCACCTAGATACAGGTGGTGTGGCACACGTGGTTCAGTCCCCACTTATAACTACAGCGCAATCATCCTATTGGACCGGCCCAATCAATTCCCCAGATTTCACCCAGAAATTCCGATTTGGTTTAATTCGCTAGATAAAGTGACTGACAACATCAAAAAAGCACAAGTCTTCGTGGCTCAGTTGGTTAGAGCGTTGGTCTCATATTTCACTATGTGAAGAGCCTGTTCACAGGCTCCTGTATCCAATCCAAAGGTATGTTCTGTCCTCTGTTTTACAATAATTCAACCCCTAATTTGGTCAAAGGTCGTGAGTTCGAACCTCACCGAGGACAGCTGATTCATTTTTTTTGGCGTTTGGGATGTTTATTTTTGATCTCGATTTCATGTTTTGTTGGTTTTTAGAAGGCTTTCTACTTTGGCTTGGCGATTTCCGTTACTAGAATGTTATATACTAGCTTAAGAGAATTGAGGTCATTTGAACGAGTTATTTCTCGTCTTATATATCTCAGAACTTAATAGCTATTCGTTCTTTTTAGATGTCAACTTAATCGCCCGTTCTTTCTTCTTAAGAGGCCAGGAACGGTTATTATATTAGGGAAGTAGTAGTTTGTTATACAAGATTTTCCTCATACAATCCGCTATTAAGAAAAGAGGCTAGGAAAAAGAAAACGCGTGAAAATCTAATTAAAAGATAGTAGGAAATAACAGTGGAAAAACCCACTAAAAAAAACTTGTAGGAAAGATAATTTAGTCCGCGGGCTTTTGAGTAAATGCGATAGAACAGAACCCTTCCAGAAATAAACTTACAACTATATTATAAATCCATGGGACTTTTTTATAACTGCGATATATAACAAAGCTTGGAAATGACGGCGCTAATCCGTGGTTTTTCTAATGCCTTTGGAGATATATATAACAAATCTTCCAAGAACTAAAATAACGACGCCAATCTGGGATTTTTCAATGGACTATAAACTATAATGTAAGGAATTGGAACGGCCAATCTTAGTTTACGAAGTGTTCTATAACTGGGATGTGTAACAAATCGAAAAAACAATGTAAGTCCACAGTTTTCTCAGCAAGCTGCGTTACGCCAAATTTCCGCCCACGAAGTCGTTAAATCCACGGTAATCTCCTTGAATGCGACATGTAACAAAACCTTTAGAAACCAAATTAATAGTGAAATTCTGCAGCCTTTCCAGCAAGTCATGGTAGGTCCAAATGACGGCCGGGAATGCGTTGAATGTGCGGTAATCTCTATATGCAACTGCTAGATCTATCAAAGCTTTTTTAAGAAAACCATGTTAACACCTGTGAATCTATCCTAAAGCCTAGCCTTAACATCTGAATCACTAATGAAGCCGCCGATCTGACGATAATCATACTCCGTAGTATATATCCTAGGCGGTGAACCGAGATTTTTCATTCACTTCACAGTTTATATATATACATATATAACAGTGAGAGAAGAATAAGTACCGTGGTCTTATGTAAGTCTAGCCGTGTAGATAGATAAGATTTAATTATCCAACCTTGCTAGATTAATAATTCTTATTGGTCTAACTTAGACTTCTCGAGCAATTATATAATCTTTTGATTACCAAGACAATTTAAGGTGAAACTCTTCTATTGGCTGTAGTTTTGTGCAAATTGTCTGCTGACAACCTTTACGCAGCGTCGTATTGCGGCACAACTCGAACCCTTTCCCCTCTCTTCCCCATCCCACCGAGCGATGAAGAGATCCTCGACTCCCATCACAATCCCATACATCTCGAATAAAGACACTCATCGAAAGACCTCTAATCAGCGTTTTCCACGTTGTCGCCTCTTTTATGATGGCCATACGACGAGACGTCTACAGCTTCCAATCATGCTGTGTGCTGTATGCATCTCTATGTTTCAGAATGTCGATACAACCCTAGAAGGCGATCATCATGCGACGGCTGAGAATCCTGTTAAAGCTGCGGAGTCAGGTTGCCGGATATGCATTTTCGAGAATATGAGAAGAGTTGCATTTGGCAGGCCGTAGAATTCTTGCTGCCATTCTGCTACCTTTTTGCCAAAGGGCAAGTCGTGTCGAGGCAGGTAATCTCTTGGGCGTCTTGTTGATGGGATGTCAAGGGGTAGTAGAGGCTTATCTATTGGGGTTATGTCATTTGTGTTTTGGAGAAAGACAAGCTCTCTGTCAGTAGGTTTGTAGGCACTGTTGTTAACGTTACTCATCTTGAGATTAGTGTATATTCCTTCTATCAAAGAAGGAGAATTATCGTATTAAGGAATAGTTCGAATTAAGTTGTAAGTCGTAAAGCGGTAAAAATGAATTATCTTCTCTTAAAGAAGTTCAATAATTTAGAAACAAATATATCCAATAAAAGCCTCAAGTCGTAAAATTATGAAATCGTAAAATTACTTCTATCAAAGAAGTATAACAACCTAAAAAATAAATATATCGTCGAAGTAAGAATCAAAAAAAAAAGGGCTTCTATAAAAGAAAGCTATCAAGATCAAGAAGTTCGTAAATGTATCGAAAAGAATTGAATTATGAACAGAACAACAGAACAAACCCAAGTATATATATTATCTCTCTCAAAGAAAAAGCACCCTACCAGTACTTACAAAGAGACCGCATCTATTTCCGTATCAACCTTTCTCTTTCAGGTGTCCAGTACTTTATGTAAATAACACCCCAATATACAGAAGACAATAGCCACCCCTTCCCTTCTATTAATTCCAGGGCATGAGAGTTTTTTTTCTACGGGAGGAGAATCCTTTCATGGGATATAGGAGTTGAGATGCTTTGTTCAACTACATACCAAAGAGAAAGATTTGAGGGTTGAGAGCTTATCGTACAAAGCTTTGAGCCTTAGAGTCTTAATTCTTTATCATCATCGGGATTCATTGTAAAGGAGATAAAACTATTGTCATGGAAATGCCAAAGAATAGACATGACTAATCTGTGTGTGGTATCTATTTATAACCGCATAAGGCGTCTAACCTATATCGTGCCAATGTACCTTAGGCAACAACAGTTTTGTTTTCCATTCTGCACATTCCCTCAATTATTCTATACAAATATCTTACTCAAGGTTGGTGCCATGGTCCCAAAATCACTTCTCCAAGGAGAAAGAGATATCTGCAGGCAGAAGGTGATTCTCATACTGTAATGCAGGACCTCCTCACGTTTTACAACACTTCATTGGATATATCATATATAGAGCTCAGTATATACTACCCTACCTCCCCCAGGTAGAAATCTATTGACCTATAGTATCAAAATACGTAGATTCAGAACTGTATGCGATAAAATAGAATAGAAGAGAAATCTAGTCTGTATACCTAATCTAGTCTAGATCTAAATATCCGCTTTCCTTTCCTTTCTTTTCGTTTCTCTCCTCCTCTTTCTCTTAACCAAAAATTGAATTGTATGGCAATCCATAGCACACGCCAAACTCCTTCGTCTCCGATGTGCATATCCCAAACCAAAGAAGGATGACTTTTCGATGACACTGAAATCCCATCAATACCTAACGCCACAAAAAAGACTTTCCTCCCGCCGACCGACTCTATATCCAGAAATGCCATCTTGACATATTTCATCTTTATCTCTCTCTATGCAATGAGAAGTTCCTTCCTTTCTTTTTGGTCCGGCAAATACTGAGTCTATACAACCCTCCACTCTTTCCACAGGCAGGTAGGTATGTACGTCCAAACCCGCCGCAAATCCTTCTACTGTATTCGAATTCAGCTCATATGAAACCTCCACTTCAATGCATCAAAAACAATGAAGATAAACGCTGAACTCGGCGCACTCCTAGCTACCGTAATCCCACAACCTCGATAAAGTCCCTTGAGTCCGTACTGTCTCCAAAGTACCACGCCTTCATTCCAAAAGCGTAATGGCGGGGCACCTGGTGCTAACGAACTCGTCTGCATCCTTGATTTAATAGTATCAGCTGGAAAAAAGAGAAAATTGTATGACATTCCCGCGGAAGCACCGGCGAGAGCTTGTTGCCATAAGGGTAGTGGTGGTAATTCTAGTTCTGACGAGGGATTCGCAACGGTATGGGAATGGCGATTGTTGAAGCGGTGGAAGAGGAGAGTGACGGTTTCCTTACTTCCGAACCATGCTGCGCAACCGCCGGTTTCACGGATTAAGGTTCCTAGTTGGCCATTCCAGAAGCCCTTGATTCCCTGGTGTCGAAACACCTCTCGAATAACGGTTAATGGTGTAGGAGCTTTGTGACGTATGCCGTCTGAGATTGAGGTTGCTGGGACTTGGATTTTGCATTTTACCAGCTCTACAGGTGTGAGGACGAGAGATGTGAATGCGCCGGAGATAGCACCTGTGAGCCATAGTGCGGATAGTGGAAGGGGCTTTTCGCGGTTGTATAATCCTGCTGAGAAGAGGGATTCCCTACCTACTCTTTCCCAGAAAAACAGACTGCTGGTTTCGAGAGCGGCTCCTACCAATGGTGCACTTATTCCACGGTATAACCCAATGAAGCCGTCATTTCGAAGGGATTGTTTGAAGCAGTCTATGGGACCGGTATAACGGAGAGGAAGGTGATCAGGCTGGGATTGTAGGCGTACTTTTACCGTGTCGAAGGGATATTCGATGTACTTGCCTGCCACACCGGCAATCTGATCTTTGTTAGTTGAGTCATCATTTGGTCACAAGAAGCTTACCGAGCCAAATGTAATATCTTCCAAAGCGTCCATCAATGCTTCCCTTCCCTTCGCTTTGGTGGTAGGAGGGGAAGGAGGCGCAAAGTCTGCGGTTGCAGCAATCGACATCTTATACGACTAAGCGATCCTTGGAATGGGCTCGTTATAGGAAGAAGTGGGTAATGGATGCGCTGGTCTAGGAATAATGTATTTCTAGAACTGATTCCCAATAACGTCGTCAAACTACGGAACGGACAGCAATTTGGATTTTGGTGCAACAATCGACGTTGACTGTTTCGGAAGATGTTGCAATTTTCGGAAATATGTTGCAACGATTCACAGTTCCTGTTGGGACAATGATGTCAAGGACGGGACGAGGCGAAAGCAGGTAACCGTAATTAAAGTTTGGCAACTGGCAAGAAAGGGTGTAATCACTTCCTGCGATGTTTAAACCGCCATCCGGTGTGTGGTATGGTAGGTGGAGGAAAAGAAAGACTTGAAGTGTCGTGGGCCAGTATCGCGGGGCTACCGAGGGAGCATATCGATATCGATTGTCCAAGAGAAGAGCACAGAGCGGTCAGTCAAGAACCAATATTGGGCAGCGAGATTTGCGCCGGCTGAGATTCAAGGGAAGTGACAGGAGCAGCAGCCGGCTTCTTATAAGTAAAGACCACTCGGAGCGGTTTCGGATATTCGTGGTTGGGCTGTGACGAACATTTTCATCTCTTCCACAAACCTCGCAGGCACATGGGAGTCTCAACTTTCTTTCGTGGAGGGGCGAGTCCAGAAGCGGCGCTTTCGATTCGCGGAACGGCGCAAGGGCCCACATAGATGGCGCTAGGAACTGTAATCTTATCAGATCAAGCGATCAAGGTTTTTCTAGCGTCTGCAGCCTCTTCCACTCGTCCACTCTATCTGCATCGGATGTGAGCTGATGACACCAATCTGAGTCGAAGCTTCACCCCACCTGCGTTTTGCTTCTCCATTTTATTTTTCGTTGCGCAAGCTTCTGTCTCCTCCATCACAACTTCCTTTGACTGCTATCATTACCATGTCTGCGGTTCCCGCGCCCAAGGTTGCCCCGCCACAGGGTATGCGCAAAAATGGTATGGTCGCAAAATTTGACCTCTTCACCAGCTTCTCTTAACACCCTACAGGAAAGCAATGGCATGAACCCAAGACCGCATTCCGGCCGAAAGCTGGGAATTCCACATATGAAAAGCGACAGGCAGAGAGGGTTGCTATGGCTGCAGTCAAGGCAAAGGAAAAGGAAATGAAGGAGGAGAAGGAGGCCGAGAGACTGGTATGTTATGATACCTGATTGCTTCTGGGTTGCGCTATGCATCACAGCTATACATCACCCCACGGCGCCATGCATTCTGCTCTAGTTATCAAGCTGATTTTTATTGCAGAGACGGACAGCAGCCTTAAAGGAAAAGCGACTTGCAAAAGAAGAAAAGGCACGATACGAGAAATTAGCAGAGACGATGCACAAGAAGCGAGTCGAGCGACTAAAGAGAAAGGAAAAGCGAAACAAAATGTTGAAATCATGACACCTGATTGCGATATATCAAAGCATTGCATTACATTGTTGGCGTTGGGCACCTACGGGGAAATTGGCGTTGAGAGAGGATTGATCTTGCACATTATGATTATGAATTTGTGCCATTCACAAGCTACATAGGCATTCAATTAATTCGGTACGATCCGTCGTCCCGCCAGTCATTGGATTGAGTGATTCCCACCTGCAGTTGGTCGACGCTCAAGTGAGACAATGCTTTGTACTTACTGGCCTTGCTTGCGTGAGTGTTTAGTGTGATGAAATAAAGGCGGTCTGAAAGAGGACTGAGAACCACAATTTGCATCTCCATAAATATACAAATCTCTCTACCTAAAAAATCGACTGGAAACTCTTGACCAAAACTCCCAATCACAAGAAGCTAGCAGGCATAAACGAAAAAAATGGAGAAACTGATCCCACCCCGTCGTCACATGCGAATCATCCAACTTGCGCATGGCGAACCACGACTCGTCCGAACTCTCTCAGCACCGACAACACCAACCCATCCACCACCCAAACCTCCAACCATAATGTCAGCCAACCTCCCCATAGCACCTCTCGACACATCGTACTCCAGCAAACACATCCACGCGACGACATCCCCCACCCGTCCGCGACACCAAGTCACCCGTTCCATCTCCGAGTTCTCTGCTTTCCCGAAACTGCATCGGCAGCGTCATCACCATCACCCCCATGTTTCGCGCCATCATAAGGATAAGGAGCGAGAGAAGGAGGGTTTTCAGAGCGCGGACGCGAATTCCCAATCGGTGAATGCTGATACGGGTATGATGAGTGACGTTACGCCGAGTGAGAGTCGGGATGCGAGTCGTAGGACCAGTTTTCTGGGAACGGGAGGGGAGGATGGGGATGGGAGGGAGAGGGTTAAGGAAGGGGAGGTGCTTGACGAGATGGAGAGAGGGGAGCAGAGGGCTATGTAGGTTCCATTTCTTTTGCGGCGCGGTTTTATATTTACAGACATGGATCACTAACGCGATTGCGACAGAGAACTACGAAACGCGATACTTAATCTGAATACTCTATCGAACAACACGACTATGCGACTAGATAATACATACTACGCCGTCCTGGAGAAACTCAGCGTCCTCCAGAATACAATTACATCCATGAAAGAACTAGCGACCATGACGCGCAACCTGAACGAAGAATTCAAGGCCGAAAGCGAGGAAGTTGTTAATGAAGTTCGGGGACAATTGGAAGCATTTGAAGGCTTCGAAAGTCAAGAGAAGAAAATCTTTGGGCTACAAGAACGAGTACGGGAGGGAAGGGACAAGATTGAAATTCTCGGGGGAAGAGTGGATGTCATTCGTCAGCGGGTAGAGAGCTGGGAAAAGCGCGAGTTTGAATGGAAGGAGAGGACTAGGAGACGTTTACGACTTCTTTGGGCCATTATCAGCATTGCTGCGGTTATCTTTCTTTTAAGATTCCTGTTTTCATACTCGCCTAGTCGGGCGCAGAAGGGTGTGGTGGTGGGAAGGAATACTTCGAATATACCGCATCTCGACAAGCTAGGAGATGAGTCGCTGCAGGCGAAGAATAAGACGTTGAGTCTGTTGGAACTTCTGGGGAACAAAGAGGAGGGAGAGCTGGAAGAAGATCCTCGACTAAAGATCTTTGATGAGCTGTGATGGAATCGCTATTTGTGATGGCTGAGTGAGGTACGGTGGATAACACGGCTTCTATGAGCTGAGCTGCGCATTTTCACCAAGCTCTCCCGACCAAGCTTTCTGAAATAGAGGCTGAGCAGGTATATGAGAAGGATGACGAGAATAATAGACGGTCTGAATACTTGGCACGTCCACGTCCTTCCTAGGTATTTCCAGGTCAGGTCAGATCTTCTGGAATACTTCGAATTGTACCAGGTTGATTGCCAGCCCCACTAAGTACGGAGTGATGCCGCGATAACCAGAGAGGGAGGGTGATGGAAACACTAGATTGTAAATAGGCTCTTTCCGCAGCAAACTCTATATTCGACATAGGGACATGGCGTAGGTCAATGGCAAATAATTGCGTGTATATAACCAACAATTGCTCTCCCGACTGGGGCTCGGTGGTGAGTGAGACTTGAGTGATGCGCAAATGGGCTGGAGAGTGGAGGCAATACTCAACGCAACCCGGTTCTTGTTTCGTCATCATCGTCAGGGGTTTGGTGGGTGGGTGGTGATGTGAATGTGGCTCAGCTTGCGCTTCTTTTTCATCGCATCCAGGTATTATTCACTTTCCTAAATGGGTGGCGTAAATAATAAATAATTACATACTCGAGTACTCTACTGCTCTTGAACTTGAATGTCTTTGCATTCTTCTACAAATACACGATATCCTTTTATTGTTGCTTGAGGTCATACGTATCCTAGGAAGAACCCCTCCGTAATACTGCAATACCCCGCTACCAACCGGACAGCCGCTTCCACTTCAGTGCTTCAGCCATACTCTATCCACACCATATCTTACATACTCGTACCCTCTCACCACTCACCTACCTTACTTTTCTACTCGCAAAGGGTGTAGAGGAATTTAATCTTGCTCGCTTCTACCTCAATAATTCTTTGACGACACATCTGGGATCCGTGCGACAGGAGATAGAAGGAGCAGGCAACACTCCATCCCATTTCATTCCATCGCACTTCATAGCGCAACAATGACGACAAATGGCACCGTCCAGCCTCCTGACAGCGGAAACGAAATGGCGAAACCAGAAAAGAGCGGACAAACGCTTACGGGAAAGCAGGAACATTGTATGGCATATCCACCTTTGCTCCTCCACATGGCATTGAATGTCCTCCCTTTCTACTACTAACCCATGGAATAGATCTCAAGCGCGAGCTCATTTTCCAACAAGTCAAATTCGAGATCACGGAGCTAAACTCTCCCACGGCACTACAGCGTTTCGGCGCGCCGTTCAAATCGGAATTTGGGGAGGTGTCGCCTCTTGATAGTGATTTGCCGATCTTGCGGTATATCTTTGTGCATCATGTCCGCGAGTTTCCATTTCTGGATCGCGCGAAGGAGAAGGAGTTTTGGCAGGATAAGTTGCAGGTCGTACGTTGTTTCCTCTCCCTGGATTTGGTTGGGAAGGTGGGATCTTGATGTGAAAATGGATGCTGATGTTGGGGTGGTAGTTTTTACAATCCTTTGCGAATAAACATATTTCCTCCTCCGAAGACCGTTTAGAAGAGACGAAACGCAGAAAGTTATCTATCAAAGCGCAGAAGTTGGTGGAGCTTATGATAGTCTCGGGGGTACCTACTGCGTCTGGATATGAGGAGAGGATACGGTTTTCTGAACTGGAAGTTGTGGATGCGGGTGCGATTGATCATGGGGTTTTGTCGACGCTGCCTGAGGGCCACTATATGAATGGCTGGGATGTTAATGTTGCGGGTGTGAGGATGAAGAGTATTAAGAGAAATATTAGGTATCATAAACATGCTGTGCGTCTCTCTCACGCCCTAAACACAACCAACCAATCAACCATTACTAATGTTTTCTTGCAGGAGTTTATACTCAGAGTCAAGAAGAGAAACGACCTCGAATTCTTTATTGGAAGACGGTATGGAGATTTCGCGAGATTAGTCAAGAAGTTACAAACCGAATTACCTGGTAAGGTCCTCCCTCCCTTACCAAAGAAGAATAAACAGAGTTCTACGGCGTCGAATTTGCTAGGTGCTGCTATGGGAAAGGATGAGGATGATGATGATGCGAGTGTTTCGTCGGTTTCTACTCTGGGGACTGCGGCACTTGATAGACAGATGAAGAGTTTATCTGTAAAAGGTATTTCCATCATACATAAATATTTGTAGTGGATGCTAACTTTTGGGAAGACCATCGAAGAAGTGGATCTCAGTACTCGTTTAGTGGAACGACTGCAAATGGAGCTAGATCTCCTAGAGCTTCTATGGATGGTAGAACGCTATCTCCCATAACTGCAGAGGTAAAGTCCATTCTTGATTCCTTTGGTGTATTTTTTACTGACGTTTTTAGCCCGTGACTTTATGGAGGGAGACTCAGCGAATTTCACTCCGAGCGTTCCTTCGAAATCTACTTGCAAACCCCCAAATTGCCAATACTAGAGCTATTTCCGAATTCCTGACATTCGAGCCAATAACGCCTACAGATGCGGATGTTGATGACATATTACGTCGAAAAGCGATGGATGAAAAGAGGGTTGAAGAGCAAAAGAAGTTTTATGAAGTCGCAAGAAAACGTGCTGCAGAACTGGATGTTTACATGGAGCAGTAAGTAAATCAGCTTAGGATATGAAACTTGACTAATTCTTGAACAGATTCCGTCGAGATATCGTAGAAAATAATGGACTTACCAGTTTGTTCCAAGAAATCAAGGAGAAAGAAACGATCCAGGATCTAAGTATGCAGTATCAGAAGTTTGCCGAGTGGTTACGAATTGAGGTTGCAGCAACGATTTATCACCTTTTCCTGGCAGAAGACAACTCACCGGATCTTTTTGCACAAGCGAAGAAGATTCACTCCATGATTCCTTACACTATCATGAAAAACGCGATTCGGATAGCTAATCCGGCTATGGTTATGTCAAGTGTTCTGGATATATTCTTGGCTCAGCCATTTGGTGCTAGATCTCTTATGCAGAGAATATTCTCACTCACTTTGAATGATGGAATGCGAAGTTTCCAAAAATCAATTGATGCTTTGACTTCCAAGATTGACGAACCGGTGTTTTGCCAGAAATTAAAGAAGTTCTGCGATGCTCCGGAAGATATCAAGAATGTTATTCGAAGCGAGTCGGAGGATGATGGCGTGGATATCATCATTGCCATACTGAGATCAGATGATATTCAACCACCACTTAACTCTACTCAAATCGGCAAGATCTATAATGCTTGGGTTGCTTGGAATAACGCGGTGGACAATGTGGATGAGGAAATGAAACAGGGTGCACAGCTGTTCTCGTATTTGAAGCAGCTTTTGAAGCTTTACACCAGACAACGGGATAAGGCTATGATGTTGAGTATGATTGAAGAGCCAGTTACACTGCAACTTCTTCGAGATCTCTTCACCATCTTCTATGAGCCACTGGTTCGAGTCTACAAATCAGCGAATGTGTACAACAGCGTGACGGATTTTGCTGTTTTTGTAGATGATATGATTCAGGTAAGTTTCATTCCAATGAGCTGGTTGTTTTTTGACTGATTCTTATAGGTCGTCGACAAATGTCGCGAACAAGACGTCTCCGCCGACCCGAATCAAACAGTCCAAGCCTTCATCGACCTTTGCCAACGACATGAACACAACTTCTACAAATTCGTCCACGAAGTACATACCCACGACAACGGTCTCTTCACCCAACTTATGGGCTGGATAGAAGGGTTCCTCGAGTTCCTCCGTCACGGTCCCAAGGCTGGAAAACTCGATATCAACGCTCTCATGGCAGGCGCCATCTCCATCGGCCAAATCGACAAAGAAAAAGCCATTGCCGAGATCGACCAACTGATTTCCTGGCAAGAAGCCCGCAAAAAATGGCATCAGGATAAGACACGGCAGAAGATGGCCGCGGAAGGCACGGTACCGAATTCTGCGACGGAACCGGCCTTCGCGGTGGGACTGACGAGTGCGGATTTCGGGGTAGATGTCATGGATCTCCAGGAGATCAATTATGAGAGTGAGAGTGAGAGTGGGGATGAGGGCAGTGAGGATGAGGAGATGGATCCGATTGCCCTGGAGAGGAAACGGCGTGCGAAGAGGCAGGATCATCTGAGAAGGACGGCGGGGGAGCCGGTTAAGCCGGTTGTTGTGGAGGTGGGGAAGCTGAGGGAAGGGTTTTTGAGTATGCTGAGGTGTGTGCTTGCTGAGTGAGTGCTTGGTGGAAATGGTAAAGGGGGGGAGGAAGAAGGGGGTATCTGTTTGTTAGATAGAGGGATGGATAGGTTGTTCCGCGTCATTTTCTTTACTGGTTCCTCTCTCGAGTTGAGTGGAGGAGATTGTGGACACTGGACGGGCATAACGGGCTAGTGGGGAATACGGAAGGGAATGAAATGGAAATAAAAGGGTAATGGAAGGGATATGAAATGGAACTGGTAATGGAAATGGAAATGGGACATGTACATTAATATAAATCCAAATCAATCAAGGAAAGCGTTTACCTGGCATACATACCTAGGTACTGTAGCTCCTATCTGGGTCATAAACGGAAAGGAATAATGAAAATTTAGTTTTGGGGGTTATTGTTAGCGTAAGGTAGGAGTAAGTTTTGGGATATTTGGAAATTGAGATATTGAAAAATTGAAATATTTAGAAGGATAACCTTTATTTGTTCTATTTAGATTAATTATATTAATTGTTAATTATTAATTTGTTAGAATATGTTATATAATAGATTGGAATAGAATAGAATACCGCCAGAGGAGGTGGAGGGAGGGGAGAGGAGGGAAGAGGGTGTAACCGTGTGGAGTGAACCACTGCTTGCTGTGATGAATACGGAGTCAAACGGAAACTGCTGTATTGAGCGAACAACTAAGTGAGGAGAGAAGAGAGTTCCAGAGGAACGGAAGCTTAAATACAGGATGCCAGCGGCACGCACGTGACGTGCTACACGTGACCAGACCCCAGTCCCTCCAACTCCGTAACAGTGGGGAGGTGTCACGAATCACGTGCGCAGCACGTTGAGGAGTGAAGTCCAGGCGGCGCCCTGACAGGACGAGCACATCACGGACCCTTATAGCGAATAGGGATCGGTTAGACTAGCTAAGCGATCCAGGGATTTCATTTGGTTGTAATCACGTGATGGACCCCAGAGGATCCAGGAGGGATCCAAAAGGATCCATGGATCCAGTTGGATCCACGAACATGAAGGTTCTATATAACACTGGCACGTCTGCCATTAGATAGGAGCTTCGTGCTCAACTTAGTTATCAATCTTATCATATTAGTTTGACATCTTTGATACAAGTAACGAGTTCACTTCCAAGTGAACAACCCGATAGTCTTCTTCTNGAACGCAACCGAAGGCGCGAACAAAACTTATGTTACTCTTGCGGCAAAACCGGCCATCGAGCAAACGAGTGCCGCGCGAAGGGTGCGAAGAAACCCTGGAAAGGAACGAAGCAAATCAACGCTACAGTTAGAAGGGAAATAGCTGTGCTTGAGAAAAGAATGTTGACTAGCGATGAACTCGAGGAGATGGGAATCCACACCCAACTCGAGAACGATCCGATACTCAGCGAGTACTACGCCACGAGATCCGATGACGAGTATTCCTCGCCCCTCCAGACACAGGAAGGCGAGCTGCTTACGACCGTCGAGTTGGAATCATC